GTTGAGCCAAACATCCTCTAATCCCCAAACGATCCCCTTTGGAATGGGGGTCGTTTGACTTCTTTGTTAACCTGCAATGCCCCATACCTGTCTATGTCTCTGAAAGGGTCGTTAAAGGGAATTGTTGGCCTTAATTGTTGCTGGATAAAACCTGGAACTCAACGCTATTTCTGACATTTTGAAATTAAAATCTTCCTGGATGGAAGAGAAACGTCTTCAAACTTTGGAAACAAAGTCCAGTGGATTGTTTTTTACTTTTTTTGGAATGACTATGACCTGCATGACAGAGAATATTCGGCGGCGTAAAGGCAAAGTAAAAAAAAAGTTTGACTATTTGACAGATTGGGTTTCCCAGCAGGGAGGAGGAAATGTTCCCGTGTAAAATCAAACAGTCCAACCCGACAGGAAGATGCTCTAAACTCGAACAATTCGCTTTTAAAAGTCAATTCCTCAACCTACAGCAGGTGTTTCTCTTCCTCCCAAAGCGAAAAAAGGCTTCTAACGAGTTTTTAACAAAAGAAGGAAACCGTCTAGTTTGAGCACATTCATGAAACCTGAATCAAAGAGCAGAAACACCGAAAGAATGAAACATTTATTTGGTCAAAAACCATAAATACTGACGGGAGTCGAGCCTTTCATCTTTGTTTATTTCACTAAAACGCCTCAGCTCTCCTCTCTCCATTATTCACACTGATGATGTAAACATGTGCTGTCACCTTTGTGTTCACACCTAAAACTGGAGGCAATTTTACTAGAATGGAGAGTTTATCCAATTCTATTCAGTTTATTTCTATAGCTCCAATTCACATCCTGTCATCTCAGGTCACTTTCCAGTTCACCAGATCATCCAGTCAGATGATTCAAAGTTTTCTATCTAAGGAAAACCAGCTGATTGCATCGACTCATTGACTCTTCAGCAATCCCTCACACTAAGCATGCTTGTAGCGACAGTGGAGAGGAAAAACTCCCTTTGAACAGGAAGAAACCTCCAGCAGAACCAGGCTCAGTGTGAGCGGCCATCTGCTGAGGCCCACTGGGGTTCAAGGAGACAGAAGCAGACACGGGCAGAATCTGAATCGGTGTACTTGTGCATCCTCGCCTGCTACTACCGTTTCAATTCACACGGACAAGAAGACAAAAAACGGATAAAGTCCCTGGATGTAGTTCTGGCCCCTCCTTCTTTACCCAGCATGCATCAGCGCAGACTTGTCCGTTCCCCAGATTGACAGCTGTGCCAGCATGCACTGCGGCAGCAGAAGCTTCCAGGTTAGCGCTCACAGAGTTCAGAGTATTAAGTTAAAAGTAGGGTTGTCAAAAGTATCGATACTGAAACGTTGTATCCGGATACAATACTAATTTTCAAAGTATCGATACAGTGCCACCACCAGTGGCACCTAAACAGTCATTCATCTAATGCGCAGAATACAGGACAATGCACTTTCTGAACACTGTGGGATTGAATAATTCTACGCACTTTTCAGTTTCACACTTTTTTTTGTAAGAGGTGCAGCTGCTGAGAATTATTTTTGTTTCTTAACCGGTTTGGTTAGCGTCAATACTATGTGTGCAAAGCATAGCCAGGGAAGGGACACTTCATTTTATAAATATTTTTTTTTTATCTAGCTTGCTTAATATTGTGCACAGCAAACAACCTCAAAATATTGTTTATTGTCTTTATTTATCTATTTATTGTATTTTGTTTATTAATGAAAAAATGTCTGCTGAATCTTGGGAGTCTTTGTTTTTATCCTTGTATCGAAAATGACATCGAGTACCGAATATTTTACTTAGTATCGGTATCGAGTTAAAAAGTTTAGTGTCGTGACAACCCTAGTTAAAAGTTCTCTTTTCTGTTATTGTTGTTCAATAAAAGTACGTTTTAAGATCATTTGAGGCGAGAATATCTATACTTTAAGCTTCACTATATGGTCCATTTACTGATTTAATGCATAATATTAAAAAAAATCAGATGTTAAGAGGAAAGGGCAACCAGCAGAGATCCAAGAGTAACCGGAGGCTAACGTTAGCCCGTCTGCAGCGGCCATGGCTAACGTTAGCCCGTCTTCTGCATAGTTGTATGTGAAATACCTCTATTCTGATGGAGGTTTGATTGTTTTATTTGGCAAAATATTCATTTTATTTGTGTTTATCTGACTGCGTTCATTATTATTCCCCCACTAAATGAAAAAAGTCACTATGTATTATTATCTAGAGACTATTAATAACAGGAGGTGAAATGCCGCTCTAGACGAACTTTGAATGTGATGATGTCATCAGTACGCTGCTGTTCCTATTGACCCAGATTTATGATGCGTGCTCCCGTTCTCCCCGAGTCCAGACTTTCCTGGGTTCTTCTCTAGAACAGACTTGGAGAGGAAACAAGTTCGTACTTGCATAGATACAAAAGGAGGATGAAGAGAGCACATCCAGTTGGTCACAGTCAGAGAAACAGGACTACACTGGAAAACAGGCCAAGCTCCAACATCTAGAAACAAAGGTGTTGATGGCAGCAGCACAGCTGATATTTCTCTCCATATTTATATCCTTCAAACAAATAAAAACACGGTTTCTCTGAATTAATAATTTCATCTGAAGCAGAGGTTTAGCCAGTAAATGTTAATAAGGGTGACCAGCCAATGCAGACTGAGGGGTGGATGAAAGCAGATCGGCACCAGAACCTCAGGGTCAATCTACACCATGCCAACAGGAACAAGCACAACATCCATATTTTATAAATAAAGATAAACTCTACTTTCCTACAACCTTTCTAGACAGAAAGTTATATTGGATAAAATTCTTTCATGTTTGACTTCCAGGGCGAACATCTTTTCTATTACCTACTTTTATCAATAATCATTCTGCATAAAATTGAGATTTACAAGTACTAATATCTACATAAATTGATTATTTAATAAGTGTTTATTAAAATAGTTATATCTAATCTCACTGAAGATTCCTAGACGACTTGCAGAGTTTTGAGAGCTGTACTAAATTAAGTTTATTTTAATTCACACTCTGTGTGTACAAAATGATAATAATCCGACGGAGTATTAGGGCCACACATGGAGAGAAAAAATATTTTTGCCATGACGAGATTAAACTCGACATGTCGACTTTAAAGTCGACATGTCGACATTAAACTCTCCATTTCGAGAATAAAGTTGAAATGTCATGTTGAGTTTAATCTCGACGTGTCGACTTTAAAGTTTAAATTAGTTCAAGAGAGCCAACCGCTGCACAGGATACATGCACAGAATCCTATACAGTTGCAGCACGTCAAAGACTACCTCCACTCTTAAAACGCAGACTGCAGCTGTGGAGCGCGGTTGCTCTTTTCTCCAAACTTTGGAATGTCGAGATTAAACTCAACATGACATTTCAACTTTATTCTCAAAATGTTGAGTTTAATGTCGACGTGTCGACTTTAAACTCGCCATTTCGAGAATAAAGTTGATATATCGTGGCGACTTTAATCTCGACATTCCAAAGTTTGGAGAAAAGAGCAACCGCGCTCCACAGCTGCAGTCTGCGTTTTAAGAGTGAAGGTAGTCTTTGACGTGCTGCAACTGCATAACTGTATAATCATCACAGAAAGTACAATTTGACCAAATCATCTACACAAGGCATGTCTGATTCTGGATTCTGTGCATGTATCCTGTGCAGCGGTTGGCTCTCTTGAACTAATTTCAACTTTATTGTCGACACGTCGAGATTAAACTCAACATGACATTTCAACTTTATTCTCGAAATGGCGAGTTTAATGTCGACATGTCGAGTTTAATCTCGTCATGGCAAAAATATTTTTTCTCTTCATGTGTGGCCCTAATACTCCGTCGTATAATAAAGTCTGTCTAAGTCTAAAAAATGGTAGGGATGGACGCAGGGGTGGCTAATGCTTGGCTAAGGGTGGCCCTGGCAACCCCTGGCCCCCCATCTAGCTCCGCCCCTGAAGCCCTGCTGACTTTCTGGCTGAGAAACTAAAACCATCCGTGGAAACCCAGCGGCGCTGAGCTCCTTCCTCTGCTCCGCCTCTCAGCTGCAGCCTCCTGGCTTCATGGTGAAACTGAAATTTCACAGTCAAACAACCGGAGCTGGTTCAACAACTCGTGTTTCATTTTCCTGCACCAACGTTTCATCTCATGTCGTGATCTCAGGCCTCAGAGCAACAGAAGCTGCCTCTGCCATCACCTGATCTCCATTCATGGACAGACAGGTGTCCCTCTTTGAGATGTAAATCAACAGGTTACCATGGAAACACAACAACAACACCTCCTTTACATCACAACCACTGACCCAAGAGTTCAGCTGTCATCATCATCATCATCATCTAATGAATCAGAGGTTCATCCTGCTGACCCCATCAGGATGACCTTCTGCTCCATGTGGACCACATCAGCACCACGTGTTCCGACAACTTTTTCCTTTAGCTTTTATCACGTGTAATCCACAGTAAATCCTCCATAAAGTGAAGAAAAACGCTCATTTTCTGTGGAAAATGTCTGCCTTATCTAAAGGAAGAGTGGGTTCTGATCTGGGAATGACAGGCGAAATCGGTAGAAAAAGTGGGTCATTTTAGGAGAAACTGTAAAATAAAGTGGATGTATTATAAGCCGATAACAAGTTCTCGGTAACAGGAGTCAGATTTGTTTAATATGTAATTTTCCCCTTTTCACAGCAGAAGCAGTTTAAATGTGAAGGTTAAATTAAGGTTTTTTTGAACGGAGTCCGCTGAACTCTCCTCACTTCCTGCCATCAACGTGCTCCTTTAAAAACAAAGCGCTATATTCGCATCCTTTGTTTCCCGCCGGTTAGAACATCTCCTCCCGGTCTGACACACACCATAAGCGGCCCAGAAGTGGTCGGACTTTACCCGAACTCGGTAGCGGGTCAATATCTGCCCCGGTTCCGTTCGCCTCTTTGGACCCCAGCAGGCTGAGGGGATGGATGCTAGCCTCCAGCTAACAGGCTCCTGGATGAGAGAGAGAATGTGGGGGACTTACAGATGTGAGGAGCGGCCTCATCTGCTCCATGCTGTCCTCCATCACCAGGAAAACTGGGAGGGGGGTTTTGTTCTCAGCCTCCCCTGGATTCTCCAAGTTCGGCTTCCTACCCCAGCCGGCTCTTCAGCCTCTTCTCTCCGCCACGACTGCGCGGCTGTCCGGAATATAACATCTCTGTCTGTAAACCCCGCCTCTTTCTGAGCGACAGTTCGCTGAGCCAATAGAATGTCAGAATGTTTTTCAGTTTCACCAATGACAGAGCTCACTGGTAAAATGGGCGGGGTGCTACCGGTAACAAAGCACAGGAGCTGCTGATAAGAAGTTCAGGCTCCGGCTGAGTTTATTAGGCTCTAAAAAAAAAAGAAGTTAAACATTAATTAGCAACAGTTAAAGAGACACTTCCAGAGAAACATGTTTTTAAAGGAAAAGTCTGGTCACATTCAGAATACAAACTTCTGAAAATACTTTAAATGTAAATAATGTAAATAATTACATCATGTTCTATAAATGATAAGTATTTTTAATTAATTCCGTAAAAGTTTAAAAAACAATCCACTGGACTTGGTTTCCAAGGTTTGAAGACGTTTTGCTTCCCCTCCTGGAAGCCAGTTTTTGGTACTCTAGCCAAGCTAAGTTTTGCTGAGTCAAAATGAGTTTTTGTTAACCTGAGTCTTAACATTTTTTTTTTTTTTTTTGTCTTTACCTCTCGGCAGGAAGTCATCCTGCAAACTGGATTTTTTTGGACCTTCTCTCCCTGGAAGGATCAACTAAGCTTCAAGCTGAGCTGAGGAAACAAACCAGAGGTTTGGATCCACTTTTCCCAGAGGAGATGTTTGAGCTTCACACTGAGCAAGGGATTCATCTGCACAACAGTCCGTTCAAGTACCGCAGGAAATCTGAGTGGCAGTCAGTCTTTCTCTGTTCATCTACAAGCAACCGCATTCTGGGTAACCCTGTCCGCCCTCCACCGTATGAGACAAACACCGGAACACATTCCTCACCTACTGGAGTCTAAGAGTCTACCTAATCTCTGGAAACGTTAGTCTGCCAACCATTTCTCCTCTTCAAGTTCGAGAATCAATTCTCCCACTGAACCTGAACTAACCGCAGTGTCTTCCCCTCACCTTTCAGTTCCGGTTGAGCAGTGTTCAGAGCAACACTGGAATCTCCACAAAACTTCTCAATAAATATGTTTTTCCCTTGTCTCTCTGGACTGGTTTATCTGCATGTGGGTCCGAGCTCTTGATAAAATCATGACACAGTGAAGTCCTCTGGAAATCTTCAATAATTGTTGTTGATTGCAGATGTGTCTAGTAGTTCCCATTGATTTAGCTTGTAAAGCGGGGAGAATGGCGCTAGGCTTACCGCACCGTGACGTCACTGCTGGAAGATGGCAGGAAGGAGGGGCTACTATATTTGGGCAAAAATGGCCGCTCCCAGACTCAGTGATCGCAATGAAAATTACTGTTTTTATTTTTTTACTGATTGACGCTGAGTTCATAAAATCACTTTAAATGTTTTAGTTTTAGGTATAAACTGGAGTTTTCCTTAAAGATTTCATCAACAGATTATAACAGATTGTGTCTCAGTAGAATCTGTGGGAAGATGATTAAATAAAAGAAATGTTTTTTTTTTAAATAATTTTCTGACTTATAGACTGTGTTCTAGAGTTGGGTATTTTCCAACGATTTTTCATTCTTGAAAAGCTGTGGTTACTTTTCAAGGGCTGTTCATTTATTCCAGGAATTGAAGGCAAGTCCATCCACTTCAGGAAAAAAAACATTTTCTATGACGTCATAGACAAATGCATCATTTCTCTATCAGTTCTTTAAGCTTCACAGGAGGATGAAGAACCTTTGCAGATGATCAAGAACTTTGACTCACACTAAGCATGCTTGTAACCTCTGATTGGTCAAATCTACATCCTCTATGCGTATTTCTTGTTTGGTTCCATACCTGCTTGTTTCTTTGTCTGACGGCCATTGTGGAAAACGACCCATGAAGATGGAGCAGCTAGCAGAGCGAGGTGCGCGAGAACGCTGGGACCCTTTTTCCACCTGCATCCCCGCTCTTTTTGGCCCTCATGTCCCTCCGTTGTCGCACAAACCTGCCTCCACTTCCTCACCGCCTCGGCCGTATCTAGACCCACAGCTAGTTCCTGATTGGTCCTCTGGCATTGTGGCGTGGAATAACATAGCGCAGACCACGCTTCAATATTGGGTATAAATCAAAAATATCTGCGACACGCTGCTGCGGGAAGATAACCAGGCCTTAAGATTATTATTTCTATCAAAATCTGTTCTGTCTCATTGTTATTTAAAGCTGAAGTCTGTAAGTTTTTAAAAATCACTTTTTTGTCATATTGGCTAAAACTGTCCCTATGCCCAGACAGCAGTACATGTGATATGTAACCTGTGAAAAAAACTGCTTCAATTGGTCCCGCCTACTGCCTGTATTTCAATCTGGAAAGAATAATTCGGGACGAGTCAAAACAACCAATCACAGCCAGAGGAGCGTCTGATGGAGTGTCAATCACAGCTCACACACGCTGAATCCCCCCCCCCCCCCCCCCCCCTTCTGGTCGCATGCGGTAGCCGCGCAGATGCTGTGAGAGGGGTGGAGCTTGGAGGTGGGGCATGAGTGAAGCAGAGAGGGTGGGGGAGTGGCGTGAAACCTGTTTTTCTTCAAATTTTCAGTCGAAGTCTGCTCTCTCCTCAATGTTACAGACTGCAGCTTTAATATATAAACATTATGAAGTGTTATTTAAAGAGTTTTTCCCAGTGATCTCTTTTGAGGGAAAATAACAAAAGGACTGAAAGGTGTAGGAAAAATTAGGCCATCCCCAAAAAATTGGACTTGTTGGCAGAGAAATAGGAGGTTTGTTTATTTATGCAATTAACTGTTAATCTGCTTTTCCACATATTTGCAGCTTATTCAGGTTTTTGTAAGAAGGTCAGTTCAAAGTGTGGGAATTCAGTTTGTTCTGTGTCTGAAACGAAGCCCGGATCTCAGCGAGATCCTTAGCAAAGAAAAAAACCACTGAGCCTTAAAGAACCGTCCCGGTTCTGGTTGAGCTGTTTGGAGCCGTTTCTGTGATCAGCAGCTCCGTGTTTGTGTTTGGTTTCCCTCCTGTTGATCCCGTCAGATGCTGTAATCCTCACAGATTATTTCATTACACAGAAGTCATTGTTGGTGCTGCTGCGGCCGCTGGCCGACCTCCAGACGTTTTCAATCCAGGTCTCCTTTCTGAAAAACAACAAGAGGAAAAAAACTGCAAAAATGAGAGATTTTGGACACTTTATTCTTTATCTGGTAGGAAAAGTGACCAGATTAACCGGAGTCACAGTTTCTGTGATTTGAGGTCTTAGTTTCAGTTTGGTTCCCTTCGCCTGGTCGTTATTCTATCTCTGGTTTCCTGACACATTGTTTCTATATTAGTACATCTTCAGAAAATAACTTATATTTAATTTACATTCAGGGTTAAACATTTCCATTAGGCAGGCTTTAACTAGGCCATTTCAACAACACCTTTGTTTCTAGATGTTGGAGCTTGGCCTGTTTTCCAGTGTAGTCCTGTTTCTCTGACTGTGACTAACTGGATGTGCTCTCTTCATCCTCTGACATGGGAGCTGGCTCGGAGCTCGTCTGCCTGGCTGTGTGTTTCCTGGACGGGGTCGCCTGTGGAGCTGGTTGACAGTTGCCTTTTGTATCTATGCTTCTTTTTCTATGTCTGCTTCTGTCTCCTTGAACCCCAGTCGGCCTCAGCAGATGGCCGCTCACACTGAGCCTGGTTCTGCTGGAGGTGTATTCCTGTTCAATGGGAGTTTTTCCTCTCCACTGTCGCTACAAGCATGCTTAGTGCGAGGGATTGCTGAAGAGTCAATGAGTCGATGCAATCAGCTGGTTTTCCTTAGATAGAAAACTTTGTATCAATCTGAGTGGATGATCTGGTGAACTATAAAGTGACTGAAATCATCACTATCACTGTTTGAAAGCCGTACAAAAGGAAATTTCGTTTTGGTGTAAAGTAAATGTTAATAAAAGTTGTCTAAGTCTAAAGAACTGCTGCGGCATGTGTTTCGGTCTTTGTTCAGTTAATGACCTGGTATATCAATGACCAAGTTCATGTTTCATCAGTTTGAGTTGCTTCCAGGTTCTGACTTATCAGCTGTTCAGAAACAATAAAACACTGATGTTCTAACAACCTTTCTCACCAAGGAACGCTTCCCTGAGTTTAATTATTTGGTGCCATAAGCTATGTCCTGCCCTCACTCCTAGCTTAGCAGGTAGATAACCATCATTTCCAATATGCCTTTTCTGTCCATTTATTGGCTGGTATGGATGAGAGGATGGATGGATGAATGAATGGTAAAACTGCAACAAAGGAATAATGTGCATAAGTCTTTGTGTAAACAGGCACAATTCCAAATAAATAAAAAGGATGCAGTGACAGCAGAATAAAGCCTTAGCCTCACTGCATTCAGTTAGCCTAGCCTTGGAGCTAAACCAGGTCCTGAAAGGTTTCTTGTGACCTGCAAAATGTCTCCGCTGTGGTGGGAGATCGTGAGCAAATACACATCCTGTCCTCTCCTATCCTTCTGCATTGCAGAGGAGCTACTGCGCATTTATAACTTCTAACGAGATTAAATGGGCAAAGTATTTTGCACCCTAGGGCTGAAATATGTCACCAATCCGACGAAAAATGGAATGACGCCTTACTCCTCATTTAAGATGAAATACTTATCTAGCACATCTAAAAAAAAAATCAATATATTTCGAAATAATTTACATATTCATTTAAAATTAAATTATAAAATAATAATAATAAATATATATATGTATATATATATATATATATATATATATATATATATATATATATATATATATATATATATATATATATATATATATATATATATATATATATATATATATATATATATATATATTTATGTCTTAATCAGGGTCATTGCGTGGGACGGGGCGGCGCTCTAGCACCCTCTATTGACCAGCCGCCTCTGGCTGAAGGGTTTTACTTAAGTGACTTTATGAGTTTTCTGCCCAGTCCAGAGAAAATAATGCCTGAAATGTGATTCCTCCTGTTGGGGAACCTGAACATGATTTAGTTCTTCTGGTAAACATTTTCAGAAAAGAAGAATTCAAAACAAACTAAAACAAATTCTGAC